CTTGGATGACATCATCATCGTAGGCCGTACGTTTGAGGAACACCTTCAAAACCTGGAACGCGTGCTCATGAAGATTCAGATTGCCAACCTCAAGTTGAGCCCGAAGAAATGTTCACTATTCAAACGGCAAGTTAACTTTTTGGGGTTTGTAGTAGTGTCGGAAGAAGGTATCCGCACAGATCCAGAGAAGGATTCAAGCCGCTGTCAAGGATTGGCCGGTTCCAAAAGACAAGACGCAGGTTAGAGCATTTTTGGGTTTGTGCTCCTATTACCGGCGATTTGTGAAGAACTTTGCAGATATAGCCAAACCTCTGCACAAGCTAACCGAGGAGAAGCGACATTTCTGCTGGGATGAAAGGTGCAATATCGCATTCCAGGAGCTCAAGGACCGTCTGTGCAAAACACCTATTTTGGGATACCCTGATGCAAGCAAAGAATTTATAGTTGACACAGACGCAAGTGATATAGGACTTGGCGGTGTGTTGTCTCAACGGAATGGTGACCAAGAGGTCGTGATAGCGTACTTCAGCAAGTCGTTGTCAAAACCGGAAAGGAACTATTGTGTCACAAGATGCGAATTGCTCGCTATGGTAAAGTCGTTGCAGCATTTTAGCAAATATCTGCTGGGACGAAAATTTTACTTACGAACTGACCATGCTGCACTAAAATGGCTATTGCAGTTTAAAAATCCAGAAGGACAAGTTGCGAGGTGGATTGAACTACTGCAGGAATACAACTTTGAGATCGAACATCGCAGCGGAAAATCTCACGGCAACGCAGATGCATTGTCAAGAAGACCTTGTCCTGAAGATTGCAACCATTGTACTAGGCAAGAGAGTAAGGAAGAGGTATCCGTGAGGATGCTCAGGACGGACCACCTCAGCAACGAATGGAAGGACAGCTTACAACATGCACAGCAGGAAGATCCGGACATCAAGCCGATTCTGGAATGGATAAAGGCCAGTGCTCCCAAGCCTAAGTGGAGCGACGTCTCAGCAATGAGTTCGACCACTAAAAGCTATTGGGCCCAGTGGGACAGCTTGCTGCTTCAGGATGGAGTTCTGTGCCGTAAATGGGAAAATGTTAGGGGAGACAGCTGTCATTTGCAAATGGTTGTCCCTAAAGCTGTACCGGATGTTCTCAGCTGTACCATAATGATTGTTCCGGAGGCCATCTGGGAGTTAAACGAATTCTACTGAAGATCCGAGAACGGTTTTATTGGGTCCACTGTCGAAACGATGTCGAGGACTGGTGTCGCAAATGTACAAGTTGTGCGGCTGTAAAGGGACCTCAGACTCGTAGTAGAGGTGCATTGAAGTTGTACAATGTTGGTGCACCATGGGAAAGAATAGCCATTGACGTGGCGGGGCCGTTTCCGGAGAGTGAAAGCGGTAACAAGTATTTCATGGTTGTGATGGATTACTTCACAAAGTGGCCAGAAGTTTTCGCCATTCCAAATCAAGAAGCTTCAACAGTTGCAGATAAACTAGTTCATGAAGTCTTCTGTCGTTTTGGAGTACCTTTAGAGATTCACAGCGATCAAGGAAGGAATTTTGAGTCTCAAATATTCCAGGAAACTTGCCGAGTTATGGGTACTCATAAAACAAGAACGACTTCTTATCACCCGCAATCTGATGGAATGGTGGAACGATTTAATCAGACATTGGAGAGGTACCTAGCAAAAGTTGTAGACAATCGGCAACGAGATTGGGACAAGCACATACAACCGTTTTTGTTGTCATATCGAAGCTCTGTTCACGAAAGTATAGCAGTGACACCAGCTTTCGCAAACTTTGGAAGAGAATTACGGCTGCCTGCAGACCTGATCACCGGGATACCACCTGATGCCCCACGCAGTATAACCGATTATGCAAGTGACTTGCGGAACAAAATGAATGACATTTATGAGCACGTCAGACAATCGGGCCAGCAAATGTCTGCGAAAATGAAAACCCGGTACGACCGCAAAATGAACAATAAAGGGTTCAACGAAGGTTCATTAGTGTGGTTGCACAATCCAGTCCGCAGCAAAGGGAAATCTCCTAAGCTTCAAGCTAAATGGGACGGCCCGTACCGGATTGTAACCAGGATCAACGATGTGACCTACCGGATACAGAAAGGCGCAAGGGGGACTCCTAAGATCGTCCATGTGGATCGCTTGGCGCGTTATTATGGGACCGATAATGCTCGGGACGAGCATGTCTTAGGAGGGGGCAGTGTTGCGTGAATAAGTCAACGTCATACACTAGCGCCATCTAGTGTCAGGAACGAGAGCGAGGGGAGCTTTGCAGAAAATGACATCACAAATCTTTCAATCGGCAGCGCCAGCTAGTCTCAAACCGAAGAACTAAGTTTCTAGAAAATCTACACTCGAAAACTCGTCGCTTTGCGCGCATTTACTTGAATATTCCGGATGCTTCATTGCTAATTTGTATACATAGGCGCTGCAAGATACGATCGGGGCAGTATTGGATTTGGCGAGACAAGCGAAGCTTCGGAGCGGAATAAAGTGAATTAGTGTGTTTAATTATTAGTGTTTTAGTTTTAATTTGTGTAAAGTAAATTAAAGTGTTAATTTAGGTAATTTTATCGGCAATTTTTATTGTCACGAACCTCAAGCTCGTAACATTATGAATACATAGTAAATTTATATATTATTAGGAATATTACACAAGAAATTATTTATGTTTAAACAATCTGACGGTTCATTAATATCATCTTGTGCGATGTCCAGTGTAATAACTATAATTTTTGTTTAAATATATGAGTAATAACTACATATTATAAGGGCTTAATAGATGGTTTGTGCTTATTAATAGTTAAAGCTTGTACGTCCTTCATTGTTCGTAAGGTATAGATTTTAGATTTCTCATCCTTTCGTGCCTTTACAAATCCCTTTTTAAACCATACATACTTGAAGTTTTGATTGATTTTTAGCTCCTGTTTAGCTTCCCATAGTATGGCCTTGTTAGCTTTTGTCATCGCCTCTCGTATGTATAAAACATTATTATTGTTTCTCTCGGAGGGGCATATGTCACCTACCCTGGTCTTGATGGTTTTCGCTGCGGTCATCCATTTTTCTCGGGCGTCTTCGTCCTGCAACTCTACTTTAATATTGAATGGTTGGTCTTTTCTTCCAAGTAATCTCCGAGAACTTTTGATTGCTTCGAGGGGCTGTTTGAGCTTCAAAGCAACATTTTCCACCAATTTGTTGACCACTTCTGAGCTTTGATAAGGAGCGTTGGCTATTTCTATATATTTTATGAGCTTTTCTTGTTCAATTTCTTGAAAACGTTGTTCAAGGGCACCGACACGGGTTTCTAAATTAATATTCTTGTTAGTTAGCTGCAAATTCTTCCGTTCGAGGGCTTTTATTGTCTGCTTGAAAGCATCAATACATTCGACTACTTCGTCTAATTTCGCACTATGAAATTGAAAAGATTCATTTAAGTCGCGCAATTCATTTTTGATAGTTTTTTCAACTCCTCAATATAACTGCTCAGCAACTTTTTTGCGTTTATTTGGACAGGTGTATCGTCTTCTTCGACGTCTTCTTCAGGAATGATTTTGGATGAGTTTCGCCTCGGTGATTCGCGCTGGCATGGGAGGCAAGTCCACTCCAGACTCGAGGCCGCCTTCAATGCAGCAATCTGTTTCGTAGTTAAACCACTGCATCTGGTGTTAAGATGCACAATCCTTTCACACTTGCTACATTCCAGTCCAGGCATGGATTTCGTAAGAGTTTTTTTACACACATCGCACTTTGACATTGTCGGTAAGAATCCTATACCTTTAAACGAGCAATTCTTGTATATATATATATATAATCGGAATCTCGGAAACGGCTCCAACGATTTTCATAAAATTTTGTATGCAGGGAGTTTCGGGGGCAATAAATCGATCTAGCTAGGATTTATTTTTAGAAAATATCTTTTTGTCCGTGTTTTTAGGCAATGAAAAACTGCTACAATATCGTTAGAATAAGAAGGTAAATTTTGACAGTTTATTGATGATTACAAATAGCTTAATTGACATATTAGGCGGTCACAAAATCGTAATACCATGGTTCGAGCCCAGACCGACCGACCGACTTTTTTTACTTTTTTTTCAAGTTCCTTTTTTTTTGAGAAAATCTATTTTTGAGCCCTTTTTTTAGTATTTTTTAAAAACACGAATATTTAAATTAAACTAATTGCACTCATGAATTTTTATTCAAATAACCAGTTCAGTTTTTTCTATTATGTCGCTAAGATCAAAAAATATTATTCGTATTTCATCAGTATGTAATTTGTATCTAAATATAATTTCCAAAACACACGAATTAAAAAAATACCGAGCGAAAAATACCGAGCAAAGCTCGGTCAACCGGGTACTATATTGTAACAGGGAAGTCAATAAAGACTGTGACTGAAAAATCTCTAGGAACACAGTTATCCAGATAAGAAAATAAATCACTGAGAGCGATCCGTATCTTGTGTCTTATCCGACACTAATTCCAATCAACAAATACTAATTAAATAAATATAAACCAATTTTATAAATTAATTTATAAATATATTGTCATGACAGCTTGACAGATGACAGATAAAGTAAAATTATATATAATTATGACTTGTGACTACAAATTCAATCAAGAATTGGAAACAAATTTTTGAGCAAGTGCAACATTCGTTACCTATCTCTATGCAATTAATAGATTTTACGAACGAAGTATCCTAATGTAGGATGTTGTCTTTTTTATTGACCACGATGGAATGGTTTGTCTGTTTTACATTTCTCACTATAATTATAATTTGTGCTTGTTTTCTGTGCGAATAATATTTTAACTTGTCGTTAACGTGACGCAACCAACATTTAACTTGAGCATCGTTAAACAATGCTAATAAAGAATTAATATACGTTATATGAAGATAACAATGTTTAGTTTTTAAAATAGTACCACTCGTTAATCGGTAAGAATATACCGGCAAATTTAGGCAATAAATGAAGCAAAAACTTACTGATAAATGTAGTTCTACCGGCGAAAGACATGTCGTGGGCAATTATTTGACCCCATTGCATTGTATTGAGGTTCCATTTCTTATCAATAATATTTTCGGATGGAAAGACAAGTAGACTAATAGCACGGGGATTCGGTAATTGTTCATTCTCTGACGTTTCAGGAAATTGGTGCACACCTGCAATTTACAAAATTTATAATTATTACCAGAAAATGTTAGCAAGAGTTTCAGTTACCGTTACAGTTTATTATAGTTCATTGCAAAACAAAGCTTCTCACATTGGTTGCCTCATAGGTGGGATATTTGTCATAATTGCCACGCTTGGCACGCGGCTTTGCAGCCGCAGTTTTTTATTTCTATTAATTATTAGGAAGACGCTGCTGCCCATCTCCTGAACTGTTTCCTTCTTACGACACCCACGGGATGGTATGGAGTCGTGGATATTTTTACACCGCCTCGGCTTCGCCTTGATAATGTATACCTATTAATGTGGCGTTATTTAGATTTAAGATAATCAAATTCCATTTATTTTATCAATATATTTCACTTATTTGAAAATTTACAAGTTTTTCGGATAAAATATAGCTCTCTATCTGTTCGTAAACTTTCATTACAATCATTACAACCATTCTGAAGATTAACTCGGATAGATAGACAGACAGACAGAAATACGAAAATTTTAATAATGTTCTTTATAGCATGCAAATAATACCTTTCGCATACCTGTAAAAAAATCGAATAAATAAATAACAAACTTTAAACTTACCATCAGCATAGTTATTATTTACTAATTCTGCAAAGGGTTCTTTCGCCGCGCCCCAGGAAGGATTTTCTAAATTATTGCAAGTGCCATCAAAGGACCTATATATGTCTTTTTTACACGTAGTTGGAGTAGATCCACATGATAATTTTTTTGTTATTGAATCGTTTTTGCTCTCTAGTTCATGTGGCGTTATAGTGGGGATTGTAGGACTGCAACATAAGACTTTTCACTTAGTAAAGGTTTACTGTATGGAAAAATACTTTTAAAATAAATTACCTTTCCGAGATTTTGATACATTTAATGAAATCTATCAATGGCTCGAAACGGGTTTTTAAAGAAGATAAATTAGATTTCGTCTCAGAATGCACATCATGGGCTAACATGGTCAAAGTGAAACAAAAAATCCACCAGAACATTGGACCTGTAAAAATAAATTGGAAAAAAATACTAAAAATCTTATAAAATTTAGTCTATTTTACCCTAAATGTATACTATAAATAATGTTTTAAGAAAATATTAAACATTAAAATGTTATTTTGGTACCCTTTAAATCGAATAGAAAATACACAATAAAACAAGTAACGTGTCATAAGCTGAACGTATTTGTTTCGTTTGATCTCGAAAATTTGAATGTAACAACTTTTATATCATGAATATGCAAAGAAGTGCTGATAAGTATTCAAGTGTATGTTGACATTTAAAAATGTGGAAGTCTTACCAATATTCTTTTTTATTAACCCCTGACGCAAAAGGAGGTGTTTCGTCTTGTTAAACACATCCTTTACTTGATCTGATGATGCATGATTTAAACACAACCTTGAGAAAAAGCAAAGGTTTATGGAGATTTCACAATATACGAAACTTGGCAAAAATATAAGGTTGGGTCACGCGACCGTATTGGTAGGCAAATACCAAAGCACTAAACATGTAGAATATTAAAAATAAAGTCAGTCGCGCATAGCGTCTATTTACTAAAATGCCGACGCGTGAGAATGCACGGTGTCGCATCGTAGATGCTCCGGGCCGCCAGAAGAGGATGGGATGCTGATCACGATTGCTTGAGAAAAGATGTATGAGTTGCTATGGGCGACGTAGACCTGTTTACAATTTGTAGACTGTCTAACTGGTTGGTAAAATGATCGCTACGACCGGTCGTTTCTTCTTCACAAATGCTGTTTCGGTTGGAGCAGACGCGAACCGTGGTGCGGTCCTCCGCTGGGGGCACTGCCAACACCCGTGTGAAATGCTGACGATGCCGGCGCGCTCCAGCTGTGGCGCGGTCACCTGATCCACGCACATCACTCATTATTGACACCTCTCACAACAAATATATAAGTACTTTTTTATATTTTTAATTCAGTCCATTTATTATTGCAAGAGTCCACAACATGTTTACATTGTTGTTTTACTATTATTGAAGTCACAGAATTTCTCATCTTGTGAGAGATAGTAAGCTGGTTTTTTCAGGTGACATAAATACTTTGATTATATACCTGTCTAGATAGAGTGTTGCGCTACAATCGCAACAAAAACAAAGGGTCCGATTTCGAGCGCTTCGAACGCGCTGCGTCACTCGGGCGCGAGCTGAGTGATACCAGCTCTTGAATATTTCTTTCACACAGAACAAAAGAGTTTTTAGAGCAAGAGAACCTAGAATTATTAGATCATCCGCCGTACAGCCCCGACCTAAGCCCTAATGATTTCTATACTTTCCCTAAAATAAAGAATAAATTGCGTGGACAGAGATTTTCATCACCTGAAGAAGCTGTGGACGCCTACAAAACGGCCATTTTGGAGACCTCAACTTCCGAATGGAATGGTTGCTTCAATGATTGGTTCCATCGTATGGGAAAATGTGTCAAATTTCGCGGAGAATACTTCGAAAAGCAATAAATACATTTTCAAATAGTAATGTTGTGTCACTTCCTTGATTCCCGAAATTTTCAGTGCCCTCGTATGAAATATATATATATATATATATATATATATATATATATATATATATATATATTATTCTTAAATTTTACTTTTACTTCGAAACCTTGTCAATAAAGTTATAACTCAGCATGTGTTGCGGCGAAACCAGAACGCTGAATTTCAGTAATGACCAAAAACCTTAGAGAATACAGCCTCGTGACTTAATTGTGTAATTGAACTTTAACGAAGAAACAAAATCAAGCATTCGTCACTCTGGACTGTTTCCACTTAGGCAGGAATTCGTGGCCGTCAGGTAATTCCATACTTTCCTCTTATTTAAATCTTATTTTTAATATGCAAGTATAGTGTTAAAAAAATTTAACGAAAAAAGCACAAAAAATAAATAAAGACAAATTACCTATTAAAAACATGCCTCCTGTAATGCTGATAGCTCAGGGGCTGAGTGCTTGAATTTCAATTGTAATTTTAATTGCTTATTTATCACGTACGGATGTAATTTGTGCGTTTACGATAAAAATGTTAATTAAATAAAACGACTGGTTTCGCTTTATCAATGTTTCACAAAGATAATAATTAGGTGTTTCATGTTTAATTAATGCAAACAATTTATATGTTGGTACATGGATACAATTTCTATGTAGTTTTGTTCTACTTATTGGGGTCGGGACCTTTTAAGATACGTCCGCTTTCTTCAACCTTAAACAATAAACGAGGATTATGGCGCTAAGGGTCAGTACGTTGCCTACTGCATAGTCTTAGTATATATGTCTTCTACGTGTTGACAGCGTATATTTTTACCCATAAACGAAAAAACCCTGATCGACTAACTTATTTTTTTTTTTTGATATTTCAACAGTAGTTCCTCTTATGACGAAGGCATCCATTAAAGAAGGATTTTAGAAAATTTAAACCCAATAAGTTAAAAAAGTTAATGAATTTATTTTTATTTTACGGGTTGATTGACTCGAAATTACAAAAAAATACTTTGTTAAAAAAGCTAAATTATTTGTGAATTTCCAGAGAAACCCCTTACGCGGTGCAGGGAGCACAGTGAAGGTTAAAATTTGTGTGGGTAACATTGAATGATTTTTTTATTTTATAACAGATTACGGTGCTTTGAAGATCACCAGCTAATTAGTGACCACCAGTGCGGTTTTCGTCGCGATCGCTCGGCTGGTGATCTTCTGGGTTACCTAACTCATAGATGGGCTGAGGCAGTAGAGTCCAAGGGGGAGGCGTTGGCTGTTAGTTTGGACATAACGAAGGCCTTCGATCGGGTTTGGTACAAAGGTTTTCTATGGGCTTCCCTAGAAATTGTGCAATTGGATCACCAGTTTTCTTGCTGATCGCGGCATCACGGTCGTAGTAGACGGTGCATGCTCCGATTACAAGACCATTAACGCTGGTGTTCCACAAGGCTGCGTGCTATCACCAACGCTGTTTCTTCTGCATATCAATAACATGTTGCAAACCGAAAACATTCATTGCTATGCAGACGACAGCACTGGTGATGCTTCATACATTGTCCGTGCCAATATTTCTCGGGAAAACGTTGCGGAGTACCGGGACAAACTTGTGTCTGAAGTCGAAACTTCGTTGAACAAAGTCTCGGACTAGGAGCGACTAAATCTAGTCCAGTGTAATCCCCAGAAGATACAAGTTTGCGCGTTTACCGCTAAAAAAACTCCCTTCGTCGTATCTCCTCAGTTTCAAGACACTCCCCTTATTATCCCAACAAGTATTGGAATCGTCGGCGTCGACATATCGAGTAACGTGCAGTTTCGTGGTCACAAGCTTGGCGTGTTCAGCAGAGCGTGACAGTATTCCATGTGAGGCCGAACTTGCGCCTTGTAAAGTTGCAGGCGATGTGCCGGTATGAAATACTGTCCCTCCTTTAGTGGAATTCAGAAAAGATTTAAAATTTAAACAATTTTCTTCAAAATTTTAGTCTAATTAGTAGCTCTGCTTTTATTAAGTCAATAAATAGCCATACGATTTCTATCTTTGGTATATAAATTATTTAGTAAACTAAACACGCTTTCACAGTAAGTATTGCTTACAGGAATTGACAACACAAACGATATAATTTTTTAAAATGTTTGATTGCATATTGGTTGTAATTTTTTTAATATGCTTAAATTTTATCATTTGACATGCCCTTGCCTTTCAGAAGATGTCCAAATATTTCTCAAAGACAACAGTAATCAGTACAAAAAGAACCAACAAGAATTTTGGTCAATATCGTTAAATATTGAGAATGTCGGTCAACGGGGATAACATAGCATTCGTGCAAATATTGAATAGCTCGTTTTAAAAACTGTTCAGCTTAAACGCAAAAAAGGTTTTTCTTACTATCCGAAATATTTCTTAATAATGTTCTATTTCTACTACCAAAGAATTTATCGTTGAACCTGTTTTTAAGATGACTTATCAGTTTTTTCATTACACTGTTAATTTCTAAGCGCACGCATCACTTTCCAATGCTAAAATTGTTGCTTGGAATACGTTTTATACAAAGTATAAATATGCTTCCGAAATTCCTTCTTGTTTCCATTCGTCAGCTACTTCTGACAGATAATTAAATTTTAATTATCAATAATTTATAACGTAAGAACAGACGATAACGGACCAGTTTCGACAATCAATCGTTGTCGATCAATTAAATTCTGGAAGTAGATATTATTTGCCAATCGCACGTAAATACATGCGTAGGCACTAAAATTGAGCTACCATAAGATCGTTCGACAATATGTCATGCTATAAAATTGAAATAACGTAAATAAAACACAAAAAAAATCTATTTTTAATAATAATTAAATTATTTATTCGAGTTTCGTGTCAATAATTTCCTTAAGCCAATATTCTTGAGTCTTGATACCTACCTACGTTACTATTAGAAGCTGTGAAATAGTGCGCGCGACGAAGTAAACCTACGAATCGGGCGAACGCGCGGTTACAGCTTACAGCGTTCCACCGTTCCACGCCACGCCACCCGCCCCCAGCCTCCGTTTAACATGGGTCAGAGCTAAGTCCAACGCCAACGTTCCGTTCGAAAATGGAGTGAACGTGAAAGTGCGCGTCGTATATAAATTATTATTTTCTATAGAACTTTTCGAGGAGCTGATTGTCGGGAGATTTCAAGTTTTGTCGGGAGTCGGGAGATCATTTAAAATGTCGGGAGAATCCAGACGAATCCCGAACATCTGGCAACCCTACTTCCAAGTGACCACGAAACTTCACGGCACTCGATGTGCATTGCAGGAAAGAGGAAGGGAATTTTAAGCTAACAAAAAAGTCACTCCAAGCGTATTTATTATACTAAAAGGTAACTTTGCCGTACGACCTCAGACAGGTGCACCACACACCACTCCACACTCCCAGAACATCGAACGATACGAGTTAGCCGTCAGAGCCGGGGCCCGCCATCCCCTGTTCTGATGGCCGTTATATACCTTACTTACGTGCACTTTCAACTGAC